TCGATGACTTCCACAACTCGTGTCGGTCTATGAACATGAGGTTTATTGAGCAGCAGCTTCAGACTGCCCTCAATCGGTTGTTGACATGGACCACTGCAAATGGTTTTAAATTTTCGTTTTCCAAAACCGTTTGCATGCATTTTTGCCGCCGAAGGGGTCTCCACCCCGATCCCAAGCTCCATCTTGGCAATATAGTTATTCATGTGGTCCCTGAGGCAAAGTTCTTGGGGCTTATCTTTGACCGTAAGCTTAGCTTCATTCCACACACCAAGCAGCTACGTGTCAAGTGGGCAAGGGCTCTGAACATCCTCCGTGTCCTCTCTTCCAGCTCTTGGGGGAGCGGATTGATGTTCTATGCTCAGGATCTATCGTGCTCTGATTCGATTGAAACTTTCTTTACAATATGCTACTAAGCTTCGATCCTTACCATGGCAGCCCACCTTGGATTGTGTCTTTCTTCCTTGGTGGACAATGCTCTTTCAGAACAGATGGTCTGCTATTCCTCCGTTTGGCCTTCGTATCTGGGCGCTACTGGCTGAATTGGGTCTGGCATTGGATGACTTTGCTGTCCCCAATGATCAGCCCATTCCACCATGGCTTATTACTATCCCATCCTGTAACCTTTCTCTGAGTCATCTGGGGAAGGCGGATACTCCCGATTGGAAGTACCATCTTCTTTTTGCTGAACATCTTTCGAGCCATTCTTCTCTTCCTATTTACACGGATGGTTCGAAATCGGGTGACTCTGTAGGTTCTGCCATGGTGTGTTGTGGCTCGGTTGTTGCTCGCAGGATCCCCTCTACAGTTTCTGTGTTCACTGCTGAGTTGTTTGCTATTTCTCTTGCCCTGGATCATGTAGAAGCTATACAGTACAGTAATTGTACTATTTACACTGATTCTCTTAGCTCTCTTCTGGCCCTGGAATCGCTTAACATTAGTTCTCACCCTGTTCTCGTCGATATTCAACACCGATTGGCCCACTTTTCTCTATATTCTATTTCCATCCAGTTTTTCTGGATCCCTGGCCACGTCAGTATTCACGGGAACGAGCTCGCTGACACCGCAGCTAAGTCCGTCTGCTTTGGTGCCATCACAGCCATGCCTGTCCCATACATGGACTACGGTCCTGTCTTCAAGGCGCGGCTTCGTGCCAG